CTTTATATTGCTTTTATTATATTTAGGTATGAACCTTGTATCCCTAATCTCTCCAAGACCTTTATCATAAAGAGGTGTTGAATTTTGTCAAATGCTTTTTCAGCATCTCATGAAATGATCATATGGTTTTTTCTTTCAGTTTATTTATATGATGGATTATATTGATAGATTTTTGTATGTTGAACCATACAAAAAAGTGCATCTCTGGGATGAACTTACTTGATCATAATGGATAATTTTTTGGTTGTGTTCTTGGATTTGGTTTGCCAGTATTTTATTGAGAATTTTTGTGTCAATGTTCATGAGTGAGATTGGTTTGTAATTCTCTTTCTTGGTTGAGTCTTTGTGTGGTTTTGGTATCAGGGTAACTGTAGCTTCATAAAAGGAGTTTGACAATGACTCCTCTATTTCTATTTTGTGAAACACATTAAGTAGTATAGGTATTAGCTCTTCTTGGAAGTTCTGGTAGAATTCTGCGTTGAAACCATCTAGTCCTGAACTTTTTTGATAGGGAGGTTTTTGATGACAGCTTCTAATTCCTCGTGACTTATAGGTCTATTTAAATTGTTCACTTGGTCTTGATTTAATTTTGGTATATGGTACTTATCTAAAATATGTCTATTTCTTTCACATTTTCCAATTTTGTGGCATACAGGCTTTTGTAGTAAGATCTAATGATTCTCTGAATTTCCTCTGTGCCTGTGGTTATGTTCTGACCTCTCTTCCATTTCTTTAAGGAAGTTTTTCTCTTCCTATTTAAGGGTCTCCATCATTTTCATAAGGTTACATTTAAAGTTGATTTCTTCTACTTCTTCTGGGTTAGGATGTTCAAGTCTTCCTGTTGCATGTTTGCTGGATTCTGGTGTTATCATGTTGCTTTTCAGGATGTTAGAGAAATTCTTGCATCGGCACTGGCCCATCTCTTCCTTCAAATGAGGTCAGCAGAGTCTTGGTGTCTTGGTCCAATCTTTGCTGTGGCTGACTGTGTACTTGGGAGTTTTTCTTCATCTGCCCTCTCCTAGGTCCCCTCAGCACTGGGGCAGGCTCTCAGATCCCCTCTGCCCTGAAGTAGGCTGTATTGGGGGATTCAAGGACCTTACAGATGAAAAGGCAGGCTTGGGGGGCCAGAATGGGGTAAAGAAAGTCAGCATCAGGAAACTTACCTCACTGGATGGCCAGAAAAGCTTAGGGAATTGAAGGGGGCCTGGGGCTGTCCGGCCATGTGGCCAGTTACTCACCTCCTAGGAATCTATCTTTTAGCTAGAATTTTTTTTTACCATTTATTTTATTATAGTCATTAATTCTCTTAGTTTTTTATTGAAAAATATTTTTCTCATTTACTGAATAATATTTTCATTGAATATAGAAAAAGTTCTAGAGTGATGTTTATTTATTTTATCATTAAAGCATTTAATTTTTAAAATTTAAGTTTATTATGCATGCCTTCATGATCTCGTGAGAACCACATTATGACTGTTTATTTTCCATAATTTTTTTGTTTTAATAAAAGTCTATCTTCAAGTTAATTTTGCTTTCCTTTAAAAATATCATTGTTTTATTCTTTGACAACTTTATAATATATACAGTGTATCTTGATCCTAACTATCCCCTTTACCTCCATGCATCCAACACATCCCTTTCCTACCTGTATGTCCTTTCCTAAGAAATATCTTTATAACCTGCTGAAAACAGTTATTGCAGCTTTCTGGAATACTGATTGATCTTGCTGACTTGCTCTTGTGTAGGCAGCTATCACCACAGTGAGCTCATGAGTGCAATGGCCATGTTGTATCCAGAACACAGCATCCCATGACACTCCTCTGCTGTAGGAGAATGTTCTTGTATCTGTAAATATTTGTCACTTGTATTGGTTTAATAAAACACTGATTGGCCAGTAGCCATACAGGAAGTATAGGTGGGGTGACCAGACTAGGAGAATTTTGGGAAGAGGAAAGGATCAGTTGCCACTCAGACACAGAGGAAGCAAGATTAAAATGCTGCACTGAGAAAAGGTACCAAGTTTTGTGGCTAAACATAGATAAGAATTATGGGTTAATTTAAGTTGTAAAAACTAGTTAATAATAAGCCTGAGCTAATAGGCAAACCAGGTAGGCCTCTGTGCATTTCTTTGGAACTGACCTCGCTACAGGACCTGGTAAGATAAAAACGTCTGGCTACATTCTTCCCCTATCTTCCAGTTCTTGGGTTCTTTTCTCTCCATCTTTTAGGATGTTCCCTTGGTCTTGCGAGGGTTACTCCAATTTAGGGCTGAACACTGGCTAGCCTGGAACTCACTCTGTAGACCAGGCTGGCTTTGAACTCACAGAGATCCATCTGCCTCTGCCTACTAAGAATTGTTATCAAAGGTGTACATTATCATGCTTTTCCAGATTTAAACTTTTATTGAGCCTCATGTTTCATTTTTGGTCTTTTTTTTTTTTTAAATGAGGGGGTGGAAGAGTGCAATTTTCAGTTGTTTTAAAAGCATAAAAGTTGTGTTCTTACACTGTCATGAGCCTTTGAGGATGAGGTATGGAATTTTTTGATTTAGTGATGTTTGTATCAAGTTGAGCAAGGGTAAACTTTAGGTTAGTTTTCACTGTTAATGTGACTACTTTTAGAATCATCTAGATGATGCACCCTTGGGCAAACCTATGAGGATGTTTCAGAGGGGTTTAGTTAAGGAAGGAAGACACACCCTGAATGTAGTCAACAGCATCCTACGGGCTTGGGTCCTGGACCAAACAGAAAGGGAGAAAAGAGAAAGAAAGCCAAGTACCATTGTTCATTTGTGTTTCTTAACTGCCATGCAATGTGACCAGCCACCTTACACCCTGACAAAGTGGACTATACTTCAGATTGTGAGATTAAATTATCATTTTCTTTCTTAGATTGCTTTTTTGTCACTTGTAATGAATGCTTTTAAGGGAATGCTGCACATTGATAATAAACAATTTGGAACTATTTGCAACAATGTGGATGAGACACACACACACACACACACACACACACACACACACACACACAGACCCCAAACACACTAACCATGCCTTGATGACTAGGCAGGAATTACCCTTTCCAGAGAAAGATAATACACCTTTCATGGGCAAACTGAAACAGCCCTTCTTTGGGCTTTCAAGTTTGGGCTACTATATGCCAGTTTTAGTTATTCCAGGGTCAAGATACAGCCAGCCAGGGTTAGCCTCGGTATTCCTGATCTACTGGACATAAAATAGTCTTCCTTATTCTGCTTCATCTGTTTAGTCTTGATGCTTCCTGTTGCGCCCTGCTGTGTCTTAGGGAGTCTTGTATGGCATGCTGTGTCTTCCGCTTCTAAGGACCTAAGAATGTCAACTTTTCCTCTCATGATCATCATTTCTGTATCTCTGTGTCCTACAATCACTGAGAAAAATAAATTCCAAGTGCCATTAAAACACACACGAAAGCAAATACTGTCTGATCCCATTTAAATGAAGTTCAGAAGCAGAAAAGGCTAATTTATGGTATTTGAAGTGAAAAGAGTAGTGGTTTATTCTGTGAGAGGGTGGAGGGAGGCGGGAGGGCAGCCCCTGAAATGAGGATTTGTCTCTTGACCTAGGTACAGGTTCTGAGAACACATTTCCTTTATGAGAACCAATCGAGCTTGACATTTGCAATTTTATCCCCTCTTTTGTGTATCTAATGCATACAGTTGCCTTTTTGGATTCAATTCTCTCCTTTTATCTCTTTGCCATTTGCTGTGTAACTTTGCAATAAATCTGCTCCTGCAATGAAAATGAATCAGCCATGTGATTTGATTTGGCCAATGGAATGATGAGGAGGCAAGAGTATGCTGGGTCTTGACCTGTGCCTCAACAGGTCTTATTATTTTTTTTTAAGAGATTGTATTTTATTGGCATTACTTAGAATGGTGGGTCTAGCACACTCATCCCAGGAGAGGGCCTGGGCTAAGGCTCCTTCCTGATCAAAGTGCTGTCTGAAGCTGTGCTCTGAGGTTTGCACAGAGGAATGCATCTCAAAGGCAGCATCAGCTAAGCTCAGCCTGGATCAGCCACTCTCTGCCAACCCATAGCCACACAGGCTAATGGTTTTATCATGCAATTGACTTTAAGAGTGGGTTGTTAATTGGCCAAAGGTTGCTATAGGTGTAGGGACAAGAAGGACAGTGAGCACTCACGTTTGGAAAAGTTTTATAAAAGGAGAGGATGAAACTGAGATGGAGACTTTTCATTCTTTCAAAGTTATTTCATTGAGCTGATTTGGAAAACAATCCCAATGTACTGATTATGACGCCATGACATTCATAGCTCCCCGACTCAACAAACCAACCTCCTAAGGCGGCTATGGCTCCTTAGGTAGAGAAGAGGTAACAACCCAAACCCAGAGAGAAATTTGGGTAGAATGGAGGAGAAGATAAATGGGTAAAATTTGAAGTCTTTCTTTGAAAGGCATCTAAGTGGAGTTTTCTAGCAGGGAGAAAGTGCGATTTTTGACAGTCGGGTTTTCTGCTGGCAGTCTAGATTTATGCATCTTTAAGGGGCCATAGGAACTGAGAAGTTAGTGATGAACGTACAGTAGACCAGAGTTCACACTGCAGGAAACTGCTGAGATATTCCAAGCAGAGTGCTTATCTTAGCATTTTATTGCTGTGAAGAAACACCATGATCACTGCAACTCTTATAAAGGAATCATTTAGTTGGGGCTGAGTTACAGTCCAGAGGTTTAGTCCATTATCATCATAGTGAGAAGCCTGGTGGCTTGTAGGCAGACATATTGCTGGAGGGGTAGCCGAGAGTTCTAGATCCACAGGCAGCAGGAAGGGAGAGTGAGCCACTGAGTCTGGCCTCGAAGTCCAGTTGACACACTTCCTCCAATAAGGCCACACCTCCTTAATTTGCCACTCCCTATAGACCCGTGGGGACCATTTTTATTCAAACCAGCATAGAGCTCCAGTCAATCTGGGTGTTTTCTGTGTGCTGATCATTTTCAAACAAACATGGTTATTTGTTTTATCTTTAATGCAGCAGGGTGATTTTACTACTTGGTCAGCAAGAAGAGGATGTCCTGTATCACTGAAGAATCCCCATCTGTCACATATCCCAGTGGGGAAGAAACTTCTCTAACTTGGAGCAGACTGGGGATGTGCATTCTTTTGAGTAGTCCCAGGACTGGCTGGAGTGAATGGGGAAGTGAGGATGATTCTACAGTCGGTGAGCTGGAATTAAGGGGAGAGAAAGATCCCAGTGAGTGGAGAGAGCAAAGGGGGAAAACCTGGTGAACGGTACTCCAAGCGGGGACCAGAGGGGAAAATAGGTATAAAATAATCAAAGAGGGTTGAGACCAGAAGATGGAGACTGAAGGAAACAGCGGGTAGGGCCAAAATAGAGGGCAGAGGAGGGAAAGGAAGGAGGGAAGAGAGGAAGAAAAAGCAGCCAAGAAAGGCTGGGTGCTGAAGCAAAGAAAAGGTAGAGAATACAAGTGCTGTGGTCTGTCTGGAGGTTGAGGGAAGAGTGAGAAAAGGCAAACATAAGCGGGAAAGAACTGGTCCTGTGTGCGAAGGCTGGGCGGTCTTCCCCACCGCCCAGAGCATCCTCACCAAACCTATTGTACCCGACTCAAGCGTTAAGCTCTTCAGAAGTGGGAAAGGCTCTCTCTCTCTCTCTCTCTCTCTCTCTCTCTCTCTCTCTCTCTCTCTCTCTCTCTCGGCCGGAAACTTTAGGCAGAGTTTGAGCCAGCTTCGGAGGAACCTGGGGGCGATGTGCACATTTTCAGGACCAAATTAGAGCATCTGAGGGACGTACTTCTCGCTAAGGAGAAGGAAGGAGCTGCGAAGAATTAGGGCGCTTACCCTCCAGGCTGGCATCTGCCTGAGGGGTTGAGGGAGGGTCATGGTGAGGCAGAGCTAGCACTGATGCTGAGTGAGGATGAAGAGGCTCCAACACAAAGGGAAAGGTAGGGTTTCGAAGCACCAAAATGCCAAGTCTAAAGTCCAAGGAGGTACCTGGGGTTGGTTAGAAACTAAGGAGAGGGAAGAAACATCGGTCACTGGAGCAGGTGGAAGTCCTGGTTAGCGTGATCTGTAGTGGGCATTGCCTGGCGACAGCGCAGAGGGTGTGCTGAAAGGATGGAGAAGCATCAGTGCCTTCGTCTGGGCTATTGCTTGATCCCAGAAGTTGCAGAATTGGTAAGGAGCAAGTCATCCTAGGGTCACCTGAAGAGGAGCGGAGTTGAAATCGATGCAGACAGACGGCTGGCACCGGCGGAGGAAGCCCCCCTCCCCCGCCCCAAGCACTCTTTGACTCCGCAAGAGCTTTGGTCCTGTGCCCCAGCTGCAAACCAAAGAGCCAGCCGGGCGAAATGGGCGTTGCTTCTAAGAAGAGTCGTGGCGGGCTGCGCCAAGGTGGGAGGCACGATGGAGGGGGGCTAAGGGGAGGGAACCCAGGTTCGAAGGGCGGATACGGGGTGGCGTCTGATGCTCCATAAAGGAACAGCGCTCTCCGCCATGCGTGCTGCAGCCACCAGCTGTGAGCAGCGAGATGACGATTGTGTGCCACCAGGGCCCCGTGCTAGCAGGTAGCGCCACTTTGGCTACCTTGGGATCCTTGATCCTGTACTCAGGGACACCTGGCAGGTACGGGAAACACAGCCAGAGTGCATCGTCGGGAGTTTCCCTCCTGCCTGCACGAATCGCCTGGTTCCTGCAGGAGCTTCCCTCCTTCGTGGTGTCAGTAGGGATGCTCGCTTGGCAGCCCCGCTCCCTCTTCGAACAGCCCGGGAATGTGCTGCTGGGTCTCTTCTCCGCACATTACTTCCACAGGTTAGCGTTTTTCTCTGCAGAGCGCAGCGCCGGGCTGGGCTCCACGTCGAGGGGCAGCATGCTCAGTGGGGAGGAGCTCGGGGTGAGCCGGGTTTGGAGTGCCAGACGGGCCCCCCAGCTTCAGGCTGAACTTCCCAGAGTTGGGGCTGCACCGGCGGGTCAGGAGCAGCCTTCACTGTCCCTTGACCGCCCTTCAGATACTCCAAACTGTCCGGCAGTGCTGGAGAGGAAGTAGCAGCGGCCAGAGTGGGTTGGGAAAGCTGGGGAGCCCAGGCTGGAAAGTAGCTATTGGCCAGGGCGCGTCCCTCTCCAACCATTCACCTTGCCAAGTGCCTGTTCAGTCTCTAGTCCTCACCTTTTTGTTATAGAGCCAGGTCAGATTGGTTCAGGGATTTGGCGAGGTGAGGTCTCTGGAACTCTCTGAAGTTCTTCTATCGGTTTAGTCTTTGTGTGATTGAAGACGGAGGTGGGCAGAGTCCAGCCCGGACTTCATAGATGAGAACAGGATACAGTGGGGTTTCTGCTTAGACCCCACCCTGCAAAAACCGCGCTCACTGCCAATTGCTGTGCCCGCCTTTCCAGGTCCTTCAGGACTTGAAAGGTGAGCGACCAAAAACTAAAGGAGAGCGCAAATGTTCTCGATGAGTAACTCCGAGTTCAGATTTTGCCTTTCTCGCACGGGAGGAAAGACAGGAAGGCGATCAAAGAGAGACTGAGAGTCCAAGGATTGTGCACCCTCCAACCGAGACGACCAGGGGAAGGGCATAGCAGAAGCGCCTGCGATGCCCGTTTAGCGTCTGTCGTCTTGTTTGGCTTCACTGTAAACATACAAGATGTCCCTAGTACGCCCACGGTACAGTAAAAGAAACGGAGATTGAGAAAGGTTGTGGAGGGGAAGGAAAGTGACCGTGACCCCGCTGGTGCCTGGCAGGGTTCCCAGCTCATTTCCAATGAACAACTTCAGTTCAAGCTCCGCCCCCTTTCAAGACAGGTAGCTACTCCCTGCAGCTAACTACAGGGACCACGGGGAGGGAAAGGCCACCAAAGGCTGGCTATGCTGATCTGAGGTGGGTGGGGGGCAGATCAAGTCGATTTAGGTAAGTTAGATTTAAAAAAAAAAAAAATCTCTGGGAGACTAAGAGTTTCCTCTTAAGGAACACCTCAATTCCAGGAAAGAAGGGGCCAGACATATAAATTTAAACTTAGTGCTCACGCAGTGTCAACGGAACTCTCATTCATTTAGTAAAGATAAGTACTGGCAAGTAAGAATACATTAATGTTTGTCCAATAAATATTTTCCAAGAGCCTGTTGTGGACGGGATCCCAGGGTAACTGTCACTTTATTTTATGAAGTGTATTTTATGTATTTTATGTCACTTGTATTTTATACAGAAAGAAGGATGTTGGGTGCAGGAGATAAAAGACAAGCATTTGATTTTGCTTACTGGAAATAGACATTTGACAAGAAAATACGACTCTATGGACATTTATTATCTTCAGATTTACTTACAGTCCACATCAACCTCCCCTGCCTCCCCGCTTCTGAGACAGGGTTTATTATGTAACTCTGACTGGCTCGGAACTGACAAAGAAGATTCCCCGGTCTCTGCCTCTAGAAAGTTGAAATTAAAGGCATGGGCCGCCATAGCTTGGATCTAAACAATATTTTTATGAGTCCATTTTATATAGAAAAATGATGAATATTTTCTGAGAAGCCTATAAACATAGTTTTTTTTTTTGAGACAGGGTTTCTCTGTGGCTTTGGAGACTCTCCTGGAACTAGCTCTTGTAGACCAGGCTGGCCTTGAACTCATAGAGATCCTCCTGCCTCTGCCCACCAAGTGTTGGTATTAAAGGTGTGCACCACCACTGCCTGGCTAGTTTTAGATTTTTTTTAAACCCCAAAGGTGTGTTGTGTAACAAAATATGACCAGTACCCTTTAAAACAAACAAGGAAGTAATTGTCCATAAAACAAATAAGTAGATGTTGTCCATCATCTCCAGAGGAACTTTAAATGAATCAGGGATTCAATCTGTCTGAAAGAAATTTGCCCCCTGAAAACACAGCTCTGAGTGACTTGTCGCTCAGTCATCAGGATATGATATTTGTGGACCTTCCCACCCGGGTTTCAGCTCTTGCTCTGAGATTCCTGAGCCCTCTGTGCTATTGTTTTGGGTGTTTCTTAGATGTTAGTCTGTGCCCAAGACTCTATGCGATGTAGGTACTAATCCTTACACCAACCAGTTAGGTAGGGATTCCAATCACCTCCATTTTGCATATGGGAAATTGGAACCCACAGCAGACTGTGCTCAGTAAGTTACCCCAGTGACAGGGCAGTCTGAAGACTCGGAGTCGATACCTGGGCGCTTGGATCCCATCTTGGGCTCTCACCACAGTGACAGGCTGTTCAAACCTGTTTTTCCTTTTTAAAAGTCATAGGTTTAACACTATTACTGTTTTAGTCACACAAGATAACCCATGTCTGCTAAAGCAAAAACTGGAATTTAAAAGAATAGAAATATACTTTTAATATGTGTGTTATTCATGAATCAAAACATGTCTGTTATTCTTTTTAGATGTTAACAGATTTTCACACATGCTTCTTATATCAAATATATAAATTTTGTTCTACCTGAATAACATTTTAAGGCTTTCAAAAAAATTAATCTTTGTGTGTATGTGTGTGTGTGTTTCTTGCAATGCATACTCCAGGTTATTTGGGCCAAGAACTTGTGAGCAATTCTGCCTCTACCGCCATCTTAAGGTAGGAGTTCTGGATTACAGATTGTATGACATTGGCCTTTATGTGGGTTCTTAAGACCCAAACTCCGGGTGTCAGGCTTGTGTTGCAAGCATTTTTACCTACTGACCGATCTGCAGGGTCTGCTAGCATTTTATGATATGTATCTCCCTACATTCTTGCGCACTCTTTGGATATATCTTTTCTGTGTTTGCTTTGGATTTTAGTCTCATGTAAAAAGACATGATTTACCTACCTACCCTCTGACAGCTGTAAATCAATTTGACTTATAGGTTCGATGAAAAGGTGCTGGGCACTTTTTGGTACCCAATTCATTCCAGTAGTTAGCTTTTACTTCAGCGTTTGCCTAGAATTTGTGAGGCTCTGAAAAAGAAAAGATTAGAAGGCTGTGAAGATTCTTTAGGCTCCTGGTATAAATATTCCCGGAGGATTTAGGATCCATTGGCTTGGAAACAAGAATGAATTAAGTCCGCAGCATCAGGTTGTCTTGCTGCAACAGAGGATAAGATGGGGGGCTAGTTCTGAGGAAGATGAAAGGCATAGGTTCTTTGTAAAGTGTCCATTGGAGACTGTTCAGTGCAGCGGGCTATTCTATCATGGGTGGGGGGGATGTTAAAGTTTAGTCCACTTCCCTCAGCACAAGGATAACACACTAGACTAAGTCCCACAAGGACAAGCTGTTTTCTCCTTTTGTACCATCTCTTTACACACTGTGCTCTTAGAGAAAATTCTTGGTATACAGCTGGCACCCACCTCAAATGTGTCAGATGCAGGAATGAACTCGACCATCGATGACAGACGGCATTGTGGGAGTGCTGGCAATCACTCAGGAATCATTATCGCTGAAGCTGCACGGCCAGGTCAGCTCACATCATGTCCTTTGTTCAGAGTCTATTGTGGTGAATGTTTAGCCACGTGGAAATGACTGCTGCCTAAGCCTGCTGCCTAACCCACTACTGAATTGATTGCAGACAGTTATCTCACCTCCCGCTGACCTCCGCTCCAGTCCTGGAAGCGCTCTTTGTCCGTATTCTTTTTTGATATTCTCTGTCCCAAGAACACTTGGCCTCCCACATTGCAGCCATCACGATGCCACTTAAGTACCTGTCATAGAAGGTATCTTTTTAGAGATTTGCAAGCGACATCAATAATAATAAAGTGACTAAAAAAACCCATCTCCCCTCAGAAGGTTAGAAGAGCTGGATATGGTGGTGAATGCCTTTAATCCTAGCGTTTGGGAGGCAAGGGCTGGAGGGTCTATGTGTGTTTGAGGCCATTAGGGCCTGGTCTTTATGGGGAATTCAGGCCAGCCAGGGCTGCAGAATCAGACTGTTGTCTCAACAAAACAAGACAACAAGACAAAACAAAACAGGTTAGACAGTATTGGACTGTGAGAGTCACACTGGAGTCTTGGGAATTCTAAGAGATGCTAAACTATTTCCCAGTCAGTGACGAAGAGGATGACTTTAATAGAAAGTTTTTGTTGCTTCCTCCATGAACTCTCCTGCAGCCCCAATTCTTCTCTGTCACTTGGGACTCAGACTAGGCTTCATTTCCGGCGAGAAGCCATTACTAAACCTGTGACCCTATCCTGATGCCGTGCCTCAGTTTCCCGAAGGCCCTTTGCACATGGGTTAAAATCTAATCTAAGAAGACTTAGTCCCCTGTGTCCACCTTTCACAACCCCCTCCCTCTCCTTTCCAAACTCTGCATTTTACAGAAGCCATGCACCGGAGGTTGAGCTGAGGAGCAGCAGAATGAGGTTTTGTCCTAAGTCCTTCTGGCCGTGACAGTGGGTCACTTGTCATCTACGAGGTGCGGTTGTCTCAGGTAGCCAGGAACAGGATTACTAAGATAATTCACTGGCTCAGAATCAGTGATGATTAATGTCTCCATTGGTGACAACAGGCAGGTCTCTGTTCTTCTAGACATGCAACATGAAATAAGCAACATGCTTGTGGTCATCATGTGTTGAGGGCATTCATAATATGTAATTTTTACCTATTGACATTCGTTGAAAAAAAATTTAGAGTAAGAGTCAGTAGACTTTTTTCTCTTTCTTTCTTTTCTTTCCTTTCTTTTCCTTTCTTTCTTTCTTTCTTTCTTTCTTTCTTTCTTTCTTTCCTTCCTTCCTTCCTTCCTTCCTTCTTTTCTTCCTTCCTTCCTTCCTTCCTTCCTTCTTTTCTTCCTTCCTTCCTTCCTTCCTTCTTTCCTTCTTTCTTTCTTTCTTGATAGACT